AACTCAATGAAAAAAAAAGAGAAATTTGTAGCACAAAAAAATGAAAAACAATTTAAAAATGACAGCTTGAACTACAGGAACCAAAATAAGTATCTCAAAGCCAAGATAAAACAGTCCACACCATTTCAACCTCAATTTCGGAAAAAGTAACTTTTATTTAGGAAAATATCAAGTCATTTCCGGAAAAACTCAAATCAATTTCAGAAAAAGTAATGGTAATTTCGGAAAAAGTAAAGTGAATTTCGGAAAAAGGAAATTCAAATTCGGAAAATGTAAATTCATTCATAGCTTACTTTTGCCGAATTTGAATTTACTTTTTCCGAATTTGAATTTACTTTTTCCGAAATTAACTTTACTTTTTCTGAAATTAATTTGACTTTTTCCGGAAATGACTTTACATTTTCCTAAATAAAAGTTAGTTTTTCCGAAATTGATGTTGAAATGGTGTAGAAGGAAATATGGACAAGAATTGTTAGCCTTTTCTGATAAGCAGTTTTATTCCTACATGAAAAGATCTCTTAGTCCAAGACTTACACATCTTTCAGTTAGGGATGTAACCACTAAGTGCACCCTTAATGATGAAAGAGAAGTTGCCAAACAGTTTCAGAGGGTTTTTACAAGAGAAGATTGGCCATATGCCCAACCTGGATTCTGTACATTCTGTGCTAATTCACTTGAAATTGTAAATTTTACACCTGAGAAAGTGGAGACTGCACTCAGATCACTAAAGCTAGTTTCTAGTCCAGGATAGAATGGAATCCCTCCCATTTTTCTAAACAAGTATGATGCAGTTCTCTCATATCCCCTCTCAGCCATGATGAACAGTCTTCTTAGACAGGGCTAATTACCAAGAAAAAGGAAGAATGCAATTGTAGTGACTATTTACAAGAAAGGCAGCCTGAAAACTATAGGCCCATTTAAGTACTCAACAAGCACCCTTTACAAATGCATGAAAAAAGTCCTGGATGATTGTTCTTTTGCTCGGAAATGGAATCATCCCCACCTTCCCAACATGGGTTCGTTTCTAGAAGGCCCACTTTCACGAACCTGCTTACCAAGGTTCACAACTGGACAAGAGCCAGTCTGTTGATTACTTAGATTTTGGAAAGGCTTTTGACAAGGTACCATTTGGGCGGCTTCTTCATTAACTCTTATCACTATGGTATAAGAGGACTACTCAACCTGATCCAAGATTTTTTGCAGCATCGACAGTTCTATGCCAGGATAGGGTCCATGAAGTCATAATCCTTCGAAGTTTTTCAGTAGGCTCAGTCCTTGACCCTTTACTCTTCTTTGTTACTACGTTTTCATGGGGTTTTTAAATCGTTTTGAATACGGTTTTGGAATTGAAAACTCCATTAAAACGTAGTATGTGTATATTAGTAACATGCCAAATAGATTGAGGGGTCAGATGTCATTTGCGGATGATACCTGTTATCATAGTAATCCGGTAATGCAGCCTGCAAGAGAATATAGATGCCATCAAACACCACTTGGCAAATGCCACTGAATGACTTCAAGTATTCAAGTCTCCACCTGTGCAAAACAACCCCATTATGCAATATTTCATTGGGTGTACCCAGGTAATCTGTTGCTGAACAAAATTATTTGGGATTTTTTGTCATTGAAGAGATGAAGTGGGAAAACCATATCAGTGGCATCACAAAGAAGTCAAACTCCATCATGTACGTGATATCCAAGGCATTCAAAGATTCCACACCCCAAATCTGTGGAAAGCTGTACAAGGCTCACAAAACATCCAGGCTGGAGTATGCCCAAAGCATTATGTCAAGGACATCGAAGCCCTTGAAAAAGTCCAACGCAGAACAACAAAAATTGAGCACTATACCAACTAACATACATATATTTAAATAGACATTTCTAATTAAAGAACTAAGTCAACAACCATCGAAACCAGGAAACTAGAAAGAATCAAGTGAACAGTCGATGAGTACAAAGAAATAATGTGGTGCCATCTCCAAACAGTAGAAAGAACTGGAACAGCCAATCTCAAGGAAACATTCAGACTTTGGAAAACTCGTAACCCACACTCAAATCACAACCTCACTGCAAATACCATGGCCAAGCAGAGAAGGTACATCCAGCAATAGAACAAAATCAGCGCACCAGACTTGGAGAACATTCTGAAAGAAGTGAAAGCCGAGATCCAGGGCCAAACAATAGCAACCAACATTCAAGAAATAGAACAGAAGAAGAAAGAAGACAAGGAATATACAGATGCAAAACAGAGGAAAGCATCAGTCCTAGAGATACAGAGCAAATAGAAACTGAAAACAGACCTAACAGCAGAGAACTAGGCAACCAGAGCCATGGAGCAGTAACAGAAGATCATAACGCAGCATGCAGTGGGTTTAGGGAGAAAATATTGGCCACCTTAAGAGAAGTAGGAATAGACGAAAATACACAAAACAATGAAAGAGGAGAAAGGAAAACTATTCCCGAAGTCCCGCATCACCAAGGAGACTCAACTTAAGGCAACGCAAGAAAAACTGAAACAACAAATAGCAGCTAAGACCTACAGAATAACAGTTCACCATGGCTACTTGGAAAAGTGACTTACACCTGTCAACCGGATCAACAACCCTCACAATCAAAGAAATCAACATCAAGAACGGCATTTTCTAGCGAGATTCGCTGTCACCGCTACTGGTTTGTATGTCCCTGTTCCCCCTGAGTACCATCCTCAACAGGACAGGTACACTATACACTTGCAGAAACGAGAAGCAAAAAATAAACCACCTCCTATACGTTGATGATCTGATGCTGATAACTAAAAGCGAAGACGACAATAACTAGAAGATATACACGAATTCAGCAGAGACATACAGATGCAATTTGGACTAGATAAATGCGCAAAGGCTGAATTCACTAAAGGAAAGCTACAAACGAAGGAATACATAGTTCTAGACGAGAACACCAGCATCAAGGCATTAGAACAATACGAAGTGTACAAGTACCAGTGGCCCTATTCTTGAAAAATATCGCATACGAAATTTGAAATGATTTTGAACGCTTCCCATTTAATTAACATTGCTGTCAGTCAAATTCGAATCAAATTTCATGTGCGACATTTTTCAAGAATTGGACCACTGGGAATTGACAAGAACTACGAAATACAGTACAAGAAGATGAAAGTGAAACTGGAGAAGGAATACTACAGAAAAACCAGACGAATACTCAAAATCGAACTTAACGCCAAAAACAAGAACTCTGCCATTACAACCCTAGCAGTCCCTGTAATAAAATACAGTTTCGGCATCATCAAGTGGACGTATGCAGAACTCAGAAAAACGGACAGACAAACACGGAAGTTACTCAACATCCACGGTGGACTCCATCCTAAAGCCAACGTAGACATGTTATACTTGCCACGTAAAGAAGGAGGAGGATGCATGCAAAGCCTGGAAAACTGCCACACCATCGCGATAAGAGGACTGAAGGCCTACCTCGACTTGAAAAAGAAAGACAACAGCGAAGACGAAAACGCGAAAAGCGTCAGCCCGAACCAACCTAAAACAAAAAGAGTCCAACAGATTAAAGAAGGATTGAAACAACAGAACAGAAGAGAACAGACAACAAGGTGGAGGGAAAAAGCTCTACATAGACAAAACGTAAAGGAGTCAGAAAAGGAAACCATCAACACAGCTGCATCATGGAAGTGGTTCACCCATGCAAATCTGAAACTAGAAACCGAAGCACAAACACTGCATGTCAAGAGCAAACTATAGCCACCAACTATATGAAGGCAAACGTGGACCTAAAATGTAGACTATGCCACGCCCATTCCGAAACCATCCACCATCTAGTGTCAGGATGCCCTATCCTAGCGAAGAAAGCTTACCTGATCCGCCACAACACAGTCGCCGCCCATCTGCAAAGAGTATAAAGTAAAAGTACATGAAAAATGGTACAAACACAGCCCGGACCCCGTCATCGAAACTCCTGAAATCACAATAATATGGGACACACAAGTGGAAACAGACAGAACCATACTAGCAAACAAGCCTGACATCATAGTGGAACATAAGAAACAGAACACATGCATGCTAATAGACGTAACAATTTCTTTAGACAACAAAATCACCCAGAGGGAAGCAGGGTAACGCTTGAAATACAAAGATCTGCAAATTGAAATACAACGCTTGTGGAACATGAAAACAGTAGTACTCCCTATAGTAATCGGCGTAACCTGATGACACTTCAGAAAGCGGTTGTGCTGAGCACCGCTCATACATATAGTACGGAAGGTACTATAGGAAAGCAGCAGCAAGAACAAGACCAGCACCGAGGAAAGAATAACCTTACGCACACGGTGTGTACTGGGTTATTTCCTCAGAAAGACAAACCATAGCCCCAAAGAAAAAGCTATGAGATACCGAATAATAATAATAATAATAATATTATTTTAGAGAGTATTCTATAATAGTAAATACACAATAACAATTTCACAAATCAAAATTATTACATATATAGCAAATATAAGTAGGATATGAATAAATGAAATTAATTTTAAAAAAATACAAAAACAAGCACTTATGTTCCATATGTGGTAAACAGGCTTGACATTATTTATTTATGCCAACATTATATCATATCTTTTGGGGCCCAGTAGCAGTAATTAAGGTCATACACACTCCTAAAAAAATTATCAAACGAAAACACACACATGGGAAATGAAATTTGATAGGACAATTTCGTCGTTGTACTAGAGGAGGAAGCGACTTTTTATTATTGTGTGACCCAAATTTTTAAGAAATGTACTAATAGGTGTACGCATGTGTGTGTATCTCAATGTAAATAAAGTAACATCTGCCCCTATGTCGTAATACTACGCACTTACTATATCGTCCAATGAAGTGCAACGTTTCTAAACAAGAAGTCAACGGCCTATCTTCGCGTTGGGGTTCATTGAACACCCGCAGAAGATTACTCTTTGTGTTTGAAATTAGGCTTAACAGTTTTTTTTGTGTTTGTTTCAGATTTCATGAAAGCTACTAAAAGACCGTTGAGTGACATATCCAAGAAAGCGCCATCATCTTCATCGAATTGGAACCAATCAGAGATTCCGACAAAAATAGCCAGACTAGATATCCTTACTTAAAGCCATCCCCTTGTTTCTTAAACGAAATCGTTTCTAATATAGGGTGAGTCTTGAAAGTGCGAATTAACACTTTGAAAAAGTTTTAGTTTTGTATTTTCTAAGAACCACCCTGTCGATTTTTTTTTTACCTTCTTCCACTTGATACAAATTAATGATGATCTCTAAAAAAATAAATTTATTTTATTATTATTTTTTTTTAAGTAGAGTAAAATATTAAGTTTTTTTGTTCAAATATTTTAAATCTTGAAACGGAGTAACTGTTTCAAAGATAAAAATAATTAATTATCATAATATAGGTTATTGCTGTACTATAATTTTTTTTGTTGGTCTTGTAGACTTTAATTGTATTTATTTTTCGTGTGATCTCGCTGAAATCTTCTTTTTTTTTTTTTGTTAGCGTTTCCTTCCTTTTTTTTAGTTACCTTTTTCTGTCTTTAATCAAATCGAATTTGTTTTGGGCTCACTCACATGCATTCACATCAAAATATCTGAAAGAAACATCACACATTCCCTGTTGTTGTACATTAGAAATTTCAGTATTTTTTTTTTTAGGTTAAGAGACTATGTGGTAGCTTCAGTGATGTGATATTTTTTGGAGCATTTGTGTGGTCTATTTCAACTAGAATAAATTGAAATAGACTCACAATATCTGATATATATTTTTGTTAGTTGATTAGCTGCCACATGAGTCGTATATTGTACAAAATTTTGGTTTTTGTATATTGTGTATAAAACTATATGTTAAAATGCAGGGTGTTTCAAGCCAACTTATCGTGCAATGCTGGTAATTGCTACCAGGTGTAAATAACATTTTAAGAAGTTGGTTTTTTCTTATAGTAAGATATTTTGATGGTTAAAATTAATGTCATTACTATAAAAAGGCGGTGGAAGTTGGATTTCTAATTTAAAATAACTTTTAATATAACCTACGTTTTATACCTGATTAATGTTTGCTTTTGAATTAGTTGAATTTTTTGGCCCAAAGAAATTGAGTACAAAATTTTTGCAGAGTTTCATACAGGATTTTCGGTCCTTGTATAATTTGGCAGCTTTGCGCCCTTTTTGTCTGATAACGAGAGAGAGAACGATTTTGGGATTATTTTTTTTTGGCTTGTAAGGGTCCTTTATTTAAGTAAAGTTAAGGTAATTTTTTTTTTGTTGAGATTGATGAGGGGATTTTTTAATGTGCACTTTATTTTCAATTGATTGAAAAATGCCCTTTTATTTGGAGAGGAATCAAGTTTGATACATGTAAAATGCAGACATATTGAGCCTCAGTTGCAGATCTCAAGTTTCTGCAATTAACTTTTTTTTTAGATTATAAGTGAATTTTGAGATGAGAAAAATACATAAAATTGAAAAAAAAAAATAACGTAACATCTGTGATGTATTATGATAATGATCTCAAAAGAAGAGAAGAAATTTATTAATATATATTTTTTTGTGAGGAAGATTTTTTGATGGCTCAAATTGCACTTGTTGAAGATTGCACTAAAGGCCAACAAAAAATCATTCCCTCCCCTTTTTATTAAAATAAAGAAGATATAAAATTTAGATTTAATTTAATCCTAGATAAATTGAAATTCATAATTATTGATGTAAATTTGTTGTAAAAAAAATAACATTTAAATAAAAAGTATATGTGAAGCTTATAATAAAGGCTTCCTTTTGTTAGTGTAAATTTCCCTTGTTTTATTTATGAGTTCCTCAACAGCGATGTGTTGACCACAGACAAAATCTCCCCATAAATTAATTTGAAATTCAAAACCACAAATCGATTTTACATGTAAGTATGGACTCTTCAAGGTCTTGAAAATCAAATTTTCGAGGGACCAGTTGACCTTTGGGGCCTTTTTATACTATGGCGAAGAGTTTTCAGATTGGATGCAACAGGAGATTGTTTAAAAGAAGGAAAAATTATTGGGGATTTATTGACAGTGTTGGCAAGAAATTTATTTTGAGTTTTAGCGCGATTTTAGTACTTTCATATCACACACTCCGTGGGTTAAGTTGTTGGTCAAAAATCCAAAATCCAGTGGTGTGAAGTAGAAAACGAGAACAAAATAATTGGAATTCTATTTTTTACAATATTGTGTAAGTTGGTAAAGTTTATATCATGAAACCTGAACCTTACTGGGTATTTTAAAAAAATACCAATTCTGTATAATATATAGGGTGTTTTGAAATTAAACGAACGTACAGTATAACTATCAATTAATATTTGGTACAGTCATATATCACACCTAAGAAACTCGACATCAAGAGCAATTCGACATTGGTCATTTGGTCAATATTTAAGGGGTTACATAATATATTTTCGGAAGTCGTATACATTTTACATCCATCTTTTTGATTTTAATTAATTACGGGACGCCTTGTATACAGGGTGACTTCGCACTTGCATCTGTTGCCTGATTAAAAATAAAAATACCAATAAAGTATATTCAAGACTTTTACTATTCCCAAACCAAACTGTTATTATAATACAGGGTGTCCTTAGATTAACTGACACATTTTATAGGTGAATATTTCTAAAACGAAAAAAGATAAAGAGATACGGTTCGTTCTACGAGAATAACGATTTTTAAAAGTATGTATTGATATATCCTAAAATTTGATGAAATTTGGTTTTACAGACATGCGCTTTTTTGCAATAAAAATACTGCTTTATTTTTTAATGAAACACCCTATACTAAAGACGTTAAAAAGCAAATCGCTGTATTTTTAAGCACCATTAGTGAGGAAGGATTAGATAGCTACAACTCGTTCACTTTGATAGACGATGAAAAGAAGTCCCTAAAGAAAAGAAAAAAGAAGTTTATGGAGAACTGTGCTCTCCAGATCCAGAAGAATGTTATTCATAAGAGATTTGTTTTTAATTCTATGGTACAAAAAGAGGGCCCAAGCATTGACAGTTTTGTGGCAGACCTGAAAATTGCAGTAAAAACTACGGAGTATTCTGTTGGAGAAAGGAGCATGGAAATAAAGAGGCTTATGGAAACCATCAGGTAACAAAAAAGGAAAAAGGGTAAGTGAAGTGAAAGCGGAGGACAATTCTGAAGATGAGTGAAGGCGACAATTTTTATCTAAGCTCTCTAGTGAAAAGGTTGGTGGTATTCAATCCAACAGTGAAGTTATGTGGTGCAAGCAGATTAAAATTGAAGGTAAATCGCTTGAGTTTAAGCTTGATACTGGAGCGGAGGTGAGCGTGATTCCTCTTCAAATTTTAGAAAAAATTAACAGGCATTTTGAATTAAAAAAGTCCAATGTGACTTTAATTTCTTATGGCAGCACAGATTTTAAAATTAAACCACTTGGAGAAATTTATTTAAGTGAAATTAAGGATTAATTCGCAAAAAAATGGTGATTTAAAGTTGTGTCTGGACCCAAAGTTTTTGAATCAATACATACAGCATGAAATTTTTTCAATTCCAAGCCGACGAAATTGCTAGTAAACTGAATCGTAAAGCCATTTTTCTGAATTAGATATGAAAGATGGCTACTTTCAAGTCAAAATTGATAATCAATCATCTGACTATTGTACTTTTGGCACACCTTTCGGTCGGTACCAATTTTGTCGGCTGCCATTTGGTAGGTATTAGTTCTGCCCCTGAAGTGTTTCAGCGAAAGAAAGAATTTCTGCACCACTGCACATAAGCATCACCATAAGCAGTGGTGCGATAATTTTGTCCAGGAGTATATTTTAATGATTTGATAATTGCTGGGGAGACAGAGTTGGAACATGACCAAATTTTGAAAAACGTCTTAGATAGAGAATCAATATTTAACATAAAATTTAATGTCGAAAATTCAGTATAAGTCAGAAGAAGCGGACAGGTTTTTTTGTAAGGATGGTGTTAAACCGTGTCAGTCCTATATTAATGCTATTACGGATATGCCCAAACCACAAAGTGAAACTGATCTTTTGAGGCATGGCAAAATTTTTGGGCCAGTTTGTTCAAAATATGTCCAAAGTAACTGCCCTTCTTCGTAATTGGACAAGACAACACGTTAACTGGACTTGGACCAATGAACATGACAAATCGTTATCAAACTCAAAACATTTATCAACAACTGCGCCAGTTTTGGTATTTTTCAACCCATCATTACCAATTGAAATTGAGACTGACTCATCAAAGGATGGCATTGGGTCTTGTTTACTTCAAAATGGGCACCCAATATCTTTCGCATCACGGAATATGACGGAAAGTGAAACCAACTATGCTCAAATAGAAAAAAAACTATTGGCAATTGTGTTTAGCTGCAAAAAATTTCATTACTTCATTTTTGGTGTTGAAAATATTAAAGTGTGTTCAGACCCTAAACCATTAAAGTCTAGTTTTAAAAAAAGCTTGCCAACTGTTTTACCTAGATTGCAACGCATGCTACTTACCTGCTTATTCAATTTCTTAACTGATTTGAAAGTTACCATTCTTTTTCAAATTATTTGCATATATCTGAAAAAAGATTTTATTTAAGGAAGTTACAAAAAATGATGAACAGATGCAAACTGCCCGACTGCTAATGAGCCGTATTGGTCGAACAAAACTTCCTGTATCAGCAGATCTTTTGAAACTAAACTCTATACAGGGTGTATATTTTAAGTGATACCACTATTGCTATATCCGAAACGGTAAGATCTACAAGGTCGGTTGAATTAGAAAAAAGTTGCCTTTTTTGATGCCCATTCAAGACTTGTTTACAGTGTTGCTAAATTCCTTTTACTTTATGAAATACAGGGGGATTTCCAAAAAACGCCCAAATCCATTTCATCAATTATTTCGAAAACTATTGATATTCCAGATAAAATTTAAATGTGCAAGTTTTTTAATTTTTTTTGCTCTACAACATGGCATCTTCAAATTTTGAATCCGACGTTTCGCCTTTGACCCACCATCATCAATTTCATTTTTTTAAATACGGACCTAAATTTTTTATGTCATTTTTAGAAAGTGCCATTAATTCCCTTTCTTAAAATGACATAAAAAATCCAGGTCTATGTTTAAAAAAATGGAGTTGATGATGGTGGCTCAAAGGCAAAACGTCGGATTCAAAATTTGAAGATGCCATGTTGTAGAGGAAAAAAAATTAAAAAACTTTCAAATTTAAATTTTGTCTCGAATATCAATAGTTTTCGAAATAATTGATGAAATAGTTTTGGGAGTTTTTTGGAAATCACCCTGTATTTCATAAACTAAAAGGAATTTGGCAACACTGTAAACAAGTCTTGAATGGGCATCAAAAAAGGCAACTTTTTTCTAATTTAACCGACCTTGTAGATCTTACCGTTTCGGATATAGCAATAGTGGTATCACTTAAAATATACACCCTGTATAATAATGTAAAAGAAAAGCTTCAATTAAGATAAGAAAATAATAGAAAATATTATAACAGAAATGCCACTGATCTAAAACCTTTGAAACCGAATCAAAATGTTACAGTTTTCAATCATATTGAAATGGAAACCAGGTAAAATTATACAGTTGTCTGAAAATCCTAGGTCCTATAAGGTTTTGGATGAAAATGGTAACTTAGTCATTAGGAAGAGAATTGATCTGAGAGAGTCATTAAATGAATATAATCCTATCATAAACAAAGATTTGAACATGTTTAGCAATGGAAATGTGCAGCAACTGGTACATCACATCATCTGCTAGTGTATCTCGTTATTTATCTTCTAGACTAGCAAATAAGCATTCTATGCCTAAGAAATCTCCTTCAAAAATAAGTAGCCCTTTCAACAAATGTTCAATCTCCTATCCATATACTCCTGATATTACAGGTGCATGTAGTCATAGTATGATTATAACAAAGTATTGTCAAGTGACTATCATGTTCTGTGACTATCATATTGTATTTAATAGAATAAAGATTGATACAAGAAATATAGTCCTATTGATACATGGACGGTAAAAATGATGTTCCAAAGATTAGATCTTCAAAATCTACAGGATCTCAAAAATTTATCAGTTCTTGAATGAATTAAGTTGGGAAAAAGTCGATATATAATTCACAAACTGAACCATTCTTCTTTAATGTTCCGTTCAAGGCCTAATAAAAAGAACTACACTCATTATAGGAAGAAAGCGTCGTATTTGCTCAGTCGAAGCATAAAATAAGCATGCATAAATGCATGAGGTTGTAAAAATTAGAAAACAGGTATTCCTTGTAAAGGGACACAGGGGCACAGGTGTTCCACCCAACAGAGGTAACACAGGTAGCCGGGTAAAGGTTTGTTTTGTTGTTTCGAAAACCAATAAAGTTACACGAGTTGTATAATAGTGTCTGGTGTCTGGAGCATTTTTTTAAAAAATTAATAAAAAAAAATACTTCCTGGGTTTTATTTAACATGACTATTTAATCTTATAGAAGCCGCGGTACCATTTTTATCTCACACATATAAGTAGGGAATTTAATCCCATTTGAGAATCCGTGGGGATGACAGAGTCGTTGACGCGGAAACGAATAAGTTTGTGGGATTTGGGAAGTTGTTTTTTTTTTTTTGTTATTTTGGGAGGCGGAAATTTGAAATTAAATTTATTCTTTTCATGGAATATTTTGGTGAACTTCAATTAGCTCCTTATGTAAAAGAAAATACTCTCATGTATTTTTAGAGCATGATGGAAATACAAACAAAGCACAATATATTTTCAACAAATATCTTATTGAACAATAATATG